CAATTCCTATTGAGTCTATGTGTTTTGATGATTGTCAACACTCAATTTTTGCTCAATTCTTTGCTTAAACCCCAATTCACACCCCAAACAACCAATCAAACCATTTCAATCTCCTTAAAACACCCAAAAACCCTAAGACTCTTAATCTTAACCCAGAGTCCCCTAAATCTAGCATTGAACTTATTTGATCCCGATTCGACAGACCTGATTGAGCCCTGATTGAGCCCCATTCAAACCATGTCCATCAAATCAGATCTAATCATTCGATTGGTAACCCCTAAATACCCATTGAGATCAAACCTTAGCTCAAAACTCCAATATTCAATAAACCATCAATTTAAAGATTTCCTTTTGATAATCCTAATTAGTTGATCCCTTTAAAGCTTAAAACTCCCAAGCCACGTTCTTCTGATCACATCAAACCCCACTTTTAACTCTAAAATCCTATACTCAACCAACCTACCAATTTTCACAACAAAGTTCCCTTGTTTACCTCTCCATCATACAATGGTTCTATTTTGACCCTTCTCATTGGCAAAATACTTTTATTTTGGATTCCCTTGATCCAAACATTCATGAACCCATTGGGTATTACCATCAAATTCTAAACATCCCAAAATACCTATCCACAATTTCAACTCAAAACACTCGGAATTTGGATTCCAATCATCTCAACATACCTGAACCCATAAGATACTACCATTAAATTCCTGACATCCCAAAATGTCTACCCACCAAATTTTAACTCAAAATTCCCTCATTTACCCTTCTATTACACAAATATTCTATTTTGAGTACTCTCATTAGCCGAAATACTCACATTATGAATTCCCACGATCCCAACATACCTTAACCCATCAAATATTATCATTAAACTCCAAACATTCCAAAATACCTACCCTTCAAATTTCAACTCAAAATTCCCTAATTTAGTAATCCATCATACAAAGATTCAACTCCCTTCTCACTAGTTGACACAGTCGTGCTCCAGGTTCCCTTGATCTCGACACCTTCAAACCAATCAAACCCTACCAACCCATGCTTGGAAACATTGTCCGATTAAATTCTAGGTTAAAACCTTCATGTTTACCCATCCATCGGACAAAAATTTTATTTCAAGGCTTTTACTTGCTAGGTCTCCCTGATACAAGCACAATTAGGCTAATTAGACCCTACAAATCAACTCAAAACACTAAAAAACTCCATCCTATCAAATTCCACCCAAAAATTCTCTTGTTTGCCACCCTCAACCAAAAAGATGTTGTTTTGGATAATTTTATTGGTATGAATTCTTAACAGCGTTCATACCCATATTCAATCCATATCATGTGACTTTATTAACTAGTCTTACTAATAGTGGGTTTAGGTCCATTTCCTTTAGTGGCTCACATACATAGGCATTACAAGGCTTCTTAGGCCTAAATAGTATATGGCTTAGGATTAAGGGTGAGCATTATTTGATTAAAACCAAAAAACTGAACAAAAAATTTTGGTTTTGGTTATTTTGTTTTTCTGAGTATTTCAATTTTAGTTTTGGGTTTTAGAAATTCGGTTAGTCGAATTAACCAAACTTTTCCATATAACATGTAATATATAATATATAATATAATGAAATTTAATTTCATAATATATATAGGAATTGTTAGTTAAGTTACAAATCAAATTAGTCATGGTTGAACAAGTTCTAGCGGTTGACCAAATTATAAAATTTTTCTAACCTAATCCAAGAACTAACTTCCTAGTTATTTTCAAATTAAATATGAAAATTTGGGATTGATCTTACACTAAACTGGGATTAAAACCTTTTGCAAAACTTTTTCCATAAAATAGTAATATAATATATAAATACATTTTGCAAATCAGATTTCAATTATAGTTGAAATCTACTATTATCAGTTTAAGTTTCCATCAGAGAGAGTGTAAACCCTAATATTCACTTTGTCTAACAAAGGGGCCAATCCTATCATTATAATCATCCACTCAGGTAATTTTCTAAACTGTCCCTACATGCCCAAATATTTGACCCTTAATAGACCTCATTGGTTAGGACATCAAAGAAAATTCAGTCCAAAACTCAGTACAACATCATAACAAAGTCTAGGATTATTCAGTGTAAGTTTATAGTTTTGTCCATCTATTTCCAAGATCCAAGGCATAACTGAAAATTGGTCCGAGTTTAGTGCTTCTTCCAAATACCCACTAGTTATGCGTAAGGTCTAATCCTAGCTGCTAAGACAAGCTTCTCCACCAATTTGGTATCACACCAGTGTCAGCCTTGTTAGGATAAACTCCCTAATGGTCTATTTGGTTGTTGAGAAAGGATGAAATGAGAAGGGATGGGATGAGAAAGGATGGGATGGGAAGGGAAAATTTATTTTCTCATTCCTGTCACTTTGCGTTTGGTTGTTGAGACCAGTTATCCTATCAAATCCGCTTCCAAGTGTTTAATTACTAAGAAAATTTTGCTAGATGATTTGTAGACACCCTACAAATATAGAAGCAATTTCACATGCAATCTTCCCTAACAGTGCTATGTAATGTTCATTTGCATTCATTCCCTTATCTTTGAGAACTTTTTTTTCTAGCTTTTGTTCAATAGGTGTAGGGCTGTAAATGGATCAAATCAAATTCTAATTGGGGTGTAAACAAGAAAAACCATATCTGATTCAATTCATATAAGTGTTCCTGTAAACAAAAACAATGGCAACCTAGAAATGGTAATAAGCATCTTGCCAAAGAAGGTCATTCATAGAAACAAATTCAATATCATTCCTCTAAATATTGGCTGCCACAAAAGCAACTGATTCTTCCAACTCCTATTAATAATTTTCTCTCATTTAATAGAAAGAATAAACAAAAGATACTAGATGGAATAGAAGATTAAATCAAAATATCACATAAAGTGAAAAAACAAATGACTTTTAGGTAATGAGAAAAAAAGTATAAAATAAATCAAGAGGAAAATAGAATGGGTTTGAGGAGAGAGCATTCTATAGAGAGGGTAGAGACAAAAGATAGAAAAGTAAGGAATAAAAAGGAAAATTAATCCTAACCTTGGTTTTTCTTCAATGTTGAAAAAATACCAAGTAAAGAATAAAAAGGAAAATTAACAATGGCATAAACAAACCTAGATTTGATTTGAATGGGAGGAAGGTATTTTCTAGGGGAAATAGAGAGAGGGAAAGAGAGATTCTCGGTTACTGCAATGGTGGTGGATAACAATCACCAATTGCTATAGTGGTGGTTTTGATGTTTGTCTTTCTCTAACCAAACACTTGATCTCAGTCTTTCAGGGGTGTAATGCTCGGTTGGGAGACCGACTCTCACACCCTCGATTTTTTTCTCACTCTCGTCTTAGAATTTTCTTTACTCAATGGTGTTACACCTATTTGGTGAGACTCCACATCCCAGATTTTGAGAAGTGACTTCTCGTCACATTTCACTCGTTCGCCCAAAACAAATGGGAGAAAATAGGAATCTTGGGCAAGTATTCATACTTTCTCATCTGGGTTATCTAATGGCTGAGAACATTCTATACTGACATGAGCCTAATAAGTGTTCAATTTAAGAAGTAATTCATAGAAACCTACCAAATGTGGTTATGAAACAATAATGTACTTATATTATTCATAAATGTTTGAAGCTAAGGGCATATACTATCTAACAATAATATATATTATATATTATATTTTATAATATATAATATAGTGTATATATTCTTGAAACTTAGTTTTAATCGAATAACCAAAAACTGAATCGAAAATTTTGGTTTTAGTTATTTTAGTTTTCCTATAATTTAGTTTGATTCAGTTTTCATTCATTCTTTTTTTTTTTAATTTTGGTTTCTAAAATTTTGGTTTATTTGGTTTAGTTTTTAATCAAATAAACCGAATGCTCACACACATGTAGGACCTACAAAGGTTTCACACAAGTCCATATGGGTTGAGCCCATGTTTAAACAACGATAGGCCAAATTCCCTACACAAGGGTAGTAAACCCCTAAGCCAATTAAGTTGGGTTCAGTTTGAGTTCAATACTTTCAAAACATTATTCATAGGGAAGGACCTCTTCCTTGACTATAAAATGAAGAGTTACGCCTTTTGCTCAAATGGATCCCGGGATTAAAACCTTTTACAAACATTTTTAAGAAAATAACAATATAATTATAAAATACTTTGCAAAACCAATTTCAAATATAGTTGAAATCCACTATCGGTAGTGGATGAGAGTGCAAATGAGAAGGCTAGAAGCTAAACATGTTCAATACAAATGGATGAGAGTGCAAATGAGAATTTTATAGATTTTGGCTTGTTTATTTTTGCTTTGGATTTTACTTTATTTTGCTCTACCTTTAATTTTTGCACCACAAACAAGCAAAACAAAGTGGAACCTACAACAAATTAAACCAAAATTTGGACTCTAATTCATTTGTATACACTTTACACCAATGTTTTTGAATCGTCGTTGACTTGGCCGGTCAGACCGTTCAGCCCAAAAACCATACAAGCAACCGGTTCCATTTCGTCCTTAACTTGTTCTTGGGTAAAAAACCGTTGACTTGGTTAGAGAACCACTGACCTAGGCGGTTGAACCGTCGACTCGTTTGACTCAAACAGCGGTTTGCGGTTTAAGAAAGTTGCAGAGAATAGAGAGGAGAGAAATTGAGACACGAACTCAGATCTGAGATCCAACAGAGAGAGAGAGAGAGAGAGAAAGAAAAGAAGAAGAAGAAGAAGAAGAAGAAGAAGATTGCAAAGGTTAGAGAGAAATCGATCTCAGTTCTCAGGTCTCAGATTTGGGATTTGCGTTTGTTGCCACTGCCTCGTCGCCGCTGTCACCATTATCGTCGTCAATGAGCATCGAATCCTCCTCTTCCTTCTTCTTTCCTCTTTCTTTCCTTCTTTCCTTCCTTTCCTTTCCTTTCTCTCTTTCCTTTATTTCCTTTATTTCCTTCATTTCTTCTTTTTTTTTTTTCTTTCATAGCAGACAACCCAAGTCTCTTCTCCTTTCTCATATAAAACTTTTATATAAGAAATATTTGCCCTAATAATACAAACCATCTAAACCGTTCGACTCGGATGATTGAACCACTAACCCAGAAACTAAAACGGTTTCATTTCCTCGTCGATTTTTAAAACCTTTCTTTACACATTTAAAATTTGAAGTAATTTATCAAAGATTTCCCATCTAACTCTTTTGAGAAAAACCTTCTCAGATATTCGTTGAATGTGAACTGCCGGTAGAGAGCCGGTTTCTTCGCCGATACTAGCTCCGGCAATGGTCCATACAAGTCTTCCCTCCTGCTTGGATTGAAGAAACTCGCAATGGAGACTCGTGCCTCAGGGAACGGATTCGCCAGCACTCGATGCTCCACGCTTCTGTACTCATCATTCGATATTATCTGAAACGCAACATTTTAATTTTTAAAACAAACGGATTAACAGATAAAATAAAATTGACAAATCCGAATCCGATGGCACAGAAATAGCACCTGGAGAAGATCTCCGATGTTGATAACGAGAGCACCAGCGATGGGTTTGACGTCCACCCAGTCTTCACCGTGCTTTACCTGCAACCCACCGATCTCGTTCTGCACCAGCACCGTCAGTGCTCCTGGATCAGTGTGAGACGTAATCCCGTACGTCAGATCAGGCTGGGGACAGTAAGGATAGTAGTGGGCCACCGCTATCCTCTCGTCCAAGCACATCAGTTCTTTCAACTTTCCGGCGTCCAACCCCAAACCTTCACACAGGATCTCCATCAGCGTCTCTCCCAACCGTGTGATATGCTGGTCCCACTCAATCAACTCCTTGCGACAAATCTCCGGTATACTGTCGTAGTCGGGAGCGACAGAACCGAACCTGAGCTGAATCGTGTCCCTCCAACTCGCTGCCTTGGATTGAAATAGATCAAAGTTAGTAGAGAATGCTACGCCGCGACTCATACCTCGGCCGTAGTACCAGGACTTGACCTCCGTCGGCTGCTCGTTGAAGCCCTTGACGGCGGCGATCGTGCGGTTGAGGACGCCAGAGGGGATGCCGTGGTTGATGATCTGGAAGAAACCCAGCTCATGGGAGGCTTCTCTGATCTGGTCAACGATGATTATTCGACGGTTGGAAGTGATTCCGGAGAGATCGACAGTAGGAATTACATCAGAAAAAGACTTGGGGGTAGGAGAGACAGAAGGGAGGGTTTCGGGTGGATGAACGAAGAAGCGAGGGATGGAGGTGATGCCGGAGTCAACAAGGCCCTTAACTCCGATCTTGGAATCGTCGAACTGCTTCACTTCCGTTGTTCGATCGTATGTTTGCTCACCGTTGGAATTGGTGATACCCATTTTTCTTCTTGTTCTTCCAGCTTGAGTGCTTAAGAATCTGCTACCTTTGCTTACATGGAATTGATAATTGACAGGCCGAAGAATGACAATCGACTGAGGGAAGGGAGACCCAAGATACAGGGAAGTGGACGATGATGGCCTGAGCAAAAGCATGTGGATGAGCTTAACATTGCTGTTTGATGAACGTCTGGCTGGAAATGGAACCGAGAGGCCGACACATTTATATGTTCCAACGGATAAGAATCTGCACTTGAGCAGGATTATCATTTATGATAGGGCTGTACTGATGGGATCAGTTCGGTTCGGTTACATACTGAACCGAACATCTCGGGTTGAATATTAGGCTACCGAAACCGATCGGCCCAACAGCAGAAGCAAAAGCCGACCTTTGATAATTGCTATCTGCATGCTCGGTTTGGTCGGTTTAGAATCGAATCAAGGTCTCTTTAATTTTGTTTTGGGTAAATTACAATGACCCCCTGTATTATGGGATCAGCGAGAAAGACCCCATGTATTGCAACAAACACCCCTGAACTTTGGTTGTTAGACAAAGACCTCCCTGTCGATGTCCTTAGTTCGGTCGTGATGAGGTCGCCACCTGAGTCTTCTTTAGGTCGGTAGAGGTAGGTCGCCTCTCCTACCGACCTACTCTTGTCGAGATCTTATGTTGTCAGGTCGGCGGAGGTAGGTCGCCACCTGGGTCTGTATCAGGTCAGTGGAGGTAGGTCGCCGATTAGGTCTCTATCAGGTCGGCAGAGGTAGATCGCCAACTAGGTCTCTATCAAGTTGGTGGAGGTGTAGGTAGGTTGACCACCATGTCATGCAGGTTGCTACTAGGCTCGCTGAGGTTTCAAACTCGGTCCCATGGTGGTCGTCTTGATTCTAATGAGGTGTCTACAGGTTGGCCATGGCGAGATGGTAACGAAGCGCCCTCAGGGTGTGTAAGGTGCATCCAAAGTGATTTCTAAGTAGGTCTCCGTCATTTTGGCTAAAGCAAGTCATCGCCTGCGTGGTGTCGGGGTGTCATGCGAAAATTCTAGGATCGCCACATGCTGCACTGCCAATAGAGGGCCAAATCTACCCTTATCAATTGCCCTCCACTCCCGAGTTGCGGTCAGCTCGGCAAAGGGAGTAGTTTGTTGCACATCTCTAGCCCGAAGTGACAGTTCAGCTGGTTTTTTTCTCTTTTTTTTTGTGCCAACCCAATTTGCTCGCCTAAGCTAGAAGAGTCTAAGGGCTAAATGCGGCACTAGGCAGAACATCACCATCTTGACCACCGGGTGTAGGAGCGAACTCATCAACATGAGGAGAGGCACAGCGGGCACTCTGAGGACATCCACCAAGCTAGGGATGTATCCATCGAGGAGTTCTGTCATTCACCCAAGTACCTCAAGAGTGGAGTTCGACATGCCCATCCTCAAGAAGGTCTACAAACTGTGCCATGCTTCTTTAGGTCACTCCACTAACAGATTTTTATGTGGTGTCCCTTAAGCCGGTCCTCGAGGTGGCTGACAAGGTTGATGCGGAGCCCGAAACCAAAGTGGAGGATAGCAGAGAGGGCAATGAGAATGATGCCAATGATGGTGTTTTCAGCGAGGACAAGGACGAGGATAATGCTGCATCTTTGAGCGAGTTGAGGTGCGCTAAGGGCAGGTCAGTCGTTAGTTGTCGTCGTGTTTTGAATAGGTTGGCTTGAGGTAGCCTAAATGCTAAACACAGTTTGGTTTCCCATTCGTAGATTTTCACTGAAGTGCGTGTATCGCAACTTGGCCAATCCAGGTCGCCAAAGTGGGTCTTAGTAAGGTCACTAAATTTTTAATAGGCCAGTTCACTATTAGCACCTCGACCTACAGACACCTCGTCACTTCGGCAGGGATGATCTACAAGGATGGCTCCATAGTCTGTTAGCCGTCAACTCCAACAGGAACCATGGAGGACTCGACCTGTCGGGTCAGCTCCATAGTCTGATGGCCATCAACTCCCACAGGAACCATGGAGGGCTCGACCTGCGGTGGCGGCTTCATAGTTGTTTAGCCATAAACTCTCAAAAGGAGCATGGAGGGCTCGACTGCGCGGGGGTGACCTCATAGTCAAGGCTAGGGGATTCTATTTGGGCGAGACCGCTGGAACTTGTTCGAGCTGATCATTCTGATTCTACGCCCTACGGGATTCCTTCGATTTAGGTGTTGTTGTTGTTGTTTGAGGTTCAGAGAATGGGTGTGAACATAGCTTTTGTGTAGCGTGTTCCCACAGACAATGCCAATTAATGATGCACAACCTAACACTCCCTGGTGGCAGACAACTCGGATGCCGAACTGAGTAGGTCACATAGTTGAGTTGCAAAGAAAGAGATCAAAGTGCCTTGGTCACTTTACCCGGGGTGGGCAATCCGATACTTAAGTCAGCGAAGAGTTTTGAGATAGCTAAAAAGCGAAAGAGTTGTGAATGCTAAATCACGCGTACCTCTTTTGATTTAAGGAGACGCCTTTATATAGGCAGAGGTAGTTGTTATTGTAACGTGTTTTTGATCTCTAGGAGGGCACGGCCATAGTACATCCAAGATCCTCGGGAAGTTGTCCACCATGCTTGGGAGCAGTTTCTCTATCGGAAATGGAATCCACGTAGGTTAACTCTGAAGCGGACGGTGCGGGGAGACAGATCTAACGGTTAAGCGATGTGATCCCATAGGAGTTGGGTATGATGTTTCACTTCAAAGTGACTGGGCACCATGTCAAGCAAGTCACCAATTGGGTCCTAGTCAGGTCGATAGGGTCTCGGGGGAGGTCCCCACTAATGCCGAGGTCCCTAGCTCGGTTGTAATGAGGTTGACACCTAAGTTTTTGTTAGGTTGGTGGAGGTAGGTCACCTCTTCTGCCAACGTAGTCCTATTGAGGTCTTACATCCTCAGGTCGGCAGAGGTAGGTTGCCACCTGGGGCCTATGTCAGGTCGACAGAGGTAGGTTGCTAGCTAGGTCTCTATCAGGTCAGTGGAGGTAGGTCACTAGTTGGGTCTTTGTCAAGTTGGCAGAGGTTTAGGCAAGTTTACCACTATGGGAGGTCTCCCTTCATGCCAAGGTCTCAAGCTCAGTCCCAAGGTGGTTGTCCCAATCCTGACGTGGTTCTAAGTAGGTCACCATCTTTTTGGCTAAGGCAAGTCATCGCTTACATGGTGTTGAGGAATCATGCGACGATTCTAGAATCGCCACATGACGCATTGTGACTTAGAGGGCCAAATCTACCCTCATCACTTGACATGATTTAATTAGTGGTCTTTGTTTCGTTAAGAAGCATGTTATTAGATCCACCAAAAACGAGCAGAACTTCAACCTCATCCTTAGAGGATACTACCTTTATTTCGTTGACTTTGATGCATGTTGTAGAGATAATTGTTAGTGTGTGGTTCCACATTTTTTTTTATTTATATCTCTATGTTATTTCATGGTAGTTATGGTAGTTAGGCTAGATTTATATGTTTTGTTTCTTTTGTAGGCAGCAGGGGTATTAGTGGAATTCCACTAGTTTTAAATTACAACTATATAAAATATATTGGTTGGGCGGCCAAACATAACTAACCCCACTATTTTTCTTTCTCCTCTTCCTCTTCTCTTCTTCTCCTCTTCTGTTCTTGGTTTATTTTCTTCTCTTTTCTCTTTGAATTCACATCAAAAAACAAACTGTTTCTAATTTCTTTTATTCAAGTTGGTAAAGCCAACTTAGGGCAGATTAGGGTTCTCATGTGAGGTTGATCTAATTGGCTACATGAGAACTTCCTAGGACTTGAAGTTCTGCATCAATGCCTGATTCTTGGAGGTTGCTAGAGTGTTTAGCTTTTTCCCAAGGGATTACAAGACCTTTAGAAATTTCCCAATGACTAAGAAGGATCAGAGAAAACAAGTAAGTTCAAGATTAGGGTTTAAACTAAAGATTGAAGGTGGCAATTAATTTTCTTCTGAGAACCTTCCTTTTTTATTGAGGCCAATAGATTTCTGTCATCCTTATTATTTTCTCGAGTTTTTCAAACCCTATGATTAGTTTTAAGCCCCAGGCTTGTTATTCTGACTGTGAATAATTTATGGGTAGTGTCTTTGATTGTGAATGATTTCTAGAAGATTATTGCTCACTGTGAATGATTTCTGGATGACTATCCTTGATTGTGAATGATTTTCTGGTGACTGATTTCAATTGATTAAGTTTTCTTGCATAGAAAAAGGCAGTTCTAGGGTTTCCTTCTTGAAGTTTTGACTTGTTAGTATTTTATATAAAATGGAGAAGGTTGAAAATGAGCTAAAGACTCAAGGGGAGGAATTTTAGGTTCTAGAAACATGATTGAAAGTTCTTTACAGATTAGTACTTTTAGGTTTCATGGAACCAATTACTTGGAAAGGGCCCAATCAGCCATGACTGCTAATGGAGGTAGAGGTAAACTAGGATATATGATTGGGGATACAAAGAGTCCTATCAAGGAAAACACATCACATGCCAAATGGGTTCAAGAGAACTATTTGGTGACGAATTGACTGTGCAATTTTATGCATCCTCACATTAGCCAAAACTACTTACGGGCAAAAATTGCTAAGGAGATTTGGGACAATATGAAAGAGATATACTCCCAACCACTTAATTTTGCTAGAGCTTATGAGCTAAAGTGTGAAGTGAATAATCTCAAGCAAGGCAAGAAGCTAGTCTCAATTTATTTTGCTACTTTGAAATCTCAGTGGTATGAAATTGACCACTTGGAGACAATTGAGTAGGAAAGTCAGAAGGATGCAACAACATATAGCAAACTAATTGAAACATATAGAGTGTTTGAGTTCTTAGCCAGTCTAAATTCAAATTTTGGTATTGTGAGGCAATAACTACTTACCAGGTAGAGTATGGGATTATCTTAAGCTTATTCATTAGTTCACAATGAAAAGAGTAGGAGAAAAGTTATATTACATTTTTAGTCTATGGAATCAGCCTTAGCAATAACAAAACCAGAAATTGGGGCAAATAAGGAAAGAGAAATGAAGGAAAATAAAAGTGATATATTTTGCAATGTAAGAAGCCGAAACATACTAGGGATACTTGTGGGAAGTTGTGTCCCCATCTTATTGTAGTGAGACTTAGAATAAAAAGGGAAATGCCAACGTGGTTGTTACTACTGATAGTGCATCCTCTTCTAGCACAAGGACCATATCCCTAGATTCCTTAGCTGTTGTCCTAGCTGCCTTGACACA